TTTGGGTCTGATTTCATCTTTTGTGGCCATTGTACCTTCGTGCCCAGCTTCTCCAGTGCATACACTATTTCTGAAGGGGAGACACAAAAGTTATGAGCAGATAATAACGGAGGCATACCTTTTTCGTTTCGAAGGGGCGCAATATGTCGCGGCACGGCATCTGCGTGCCTCGGGGGAGGCGGATTATGGGTTCTGACATAGGGCTGATGCCTTTCTCTGTTGAAGCGCGGGAGCTGATCCCTTCTTCCGTCGTTACGTCGATCCCTCCTTACCTCGGATTGTAGCGACGTCAGTCGCTGGGTCAGACCGTTAAGATAATCTTCATCTGCTCTTACTTTGGCGCAATAGGCATTATGGATTTCCTCCCATGTTGTGGGAGGGTACTTCATGAGTCTGTTGTGTAACTTCTTGGTCGCCTTCGACCCGCTTCTGCTTAATCTGTTCTGGAAAGCTGCGACCGCCATTCCTTCCGACACATTTGGCAGTCCCATTCTTACCCTGTTGAACCGGGCTAGGAAGTCTCGAAGCCCCTCGCCCGCCGTTTGTCTGATGGCGAAGATATCGTTGACCCTAGCTTCTTCCTTCTTTGCTCCTACATGTGCAGTAGCGAACTTATCCGCCATTTCCTCGAACGTTGAAATCGACCGTGCTGGTAGCTGAGAATACCAGGTTAGCGCTCCACCTGTCAAAGTCTCACCGAAATTTTTCAACAGCACAAATGGCACTTGCTCTTTCGACAAGTCGTTACCTTTTACCGCTGTGACGTAATGGATCAGGTGATCATCTGGATCCGAGGTTCCGTCATATATTCTCAAGTAGGGCGGCATTTTAAAGGTTTTTGGGATGGGATGGGGAGCAACTTCTTCACTGTAAGGCTGCTCGACAAACCTTCCCACATCGCGCTTTGGCAGCAGCTTAGGGGCGTCGGGTATTTCGTCAACCCTCTCCTGGTGTTCCTTCATTTGGTCACGAAGCATCTTGTTCTCGTTTTCCATTTCTTCCACTTTCTTTAGGATGGCTGCGAGTGTACCATCACTTCTATCTGTGGTAATGCGATTGTTGATTGTTTGTACAGTGCTTGGCTCGCCGGTGACAGCAGCGACTTCCAATGTTGGCGAATCTCCGGTATTTCCTAGAGAGGGTTTTTCGAGCATGGTGTTTAGAGCGCTTGTCAACCATTCTTCTAACAGCTTTTTGACTGCTGATAGTGTTTCTCTCACCGTAGATGTCGAAGTTCCTCTTTCGCGCAAGATCGTCAGATCCTCGAGTATAGAGGGTGAGATCTCCCCCTCCGATATACCTCTTGGTGTTATATTCTCGTTGTCTTCTCTACCAGCTTCGTTGAGGGAGTCTAAGAGGTTGTTTGAGACATTCACTATCGCTTTCGACCTTGCTTCTTTCTCTACCATCGCTGATTTCTATGGAGTGCGAAGGACAGAGATCGTTTTGTTTGATATCCCAAGTGAGAACTATGATTTCGACTACAGAAATTCCCACAGACGGCGCCAAATTGTTTGACTCAAAAGATGTTAAAATCCTTTTAAGCAAATCAATCACAGAAGTGAAAGGGTAAATCGTAGTCGGAGATAATAATCCCCAGGATCGTTTCACTAATTGGAATAATAACAACAATATATGGATAATAGAGAGGGAGAGATAGAGAGATAAATATTAGAGAGAGAGAATCAGTTCTTTTGTTACAAGCTCCCTATCTATTACAATGTTCGGACCCCCTTTATATAATAGAGGGATTCGAGCTAAATCCTAGGAGTGATAACGTCGGTGTACTTTATAATGGAACTAATAACATGTCGAGGTTGTCCCCTACCTCACCCCGGGGTCGTTCCCTTGTGTCGAGTCGTAGACATTCGACGGTTAGTCACGCAGGCGGTGGGACGTGGTTAGTCAAATTCGACCCCATACAGATCTATACTCTAGCCATCTTTTATGTTTCTTAATCATCACCATTTAAACAGTAAAACTGTCTAGAGATTTTTGCTAAGTTCTATAAAAGTATGTATATTATTGCATTCTACTTTTACTAATGACTTTTACATGAGATTTAAAAAATTATCAAAAATTAATCGAACCGTACCGATATCAAAGAGAAACCGGCATGATTGGTACGATTTCGAAAAGTCTAACTTTGGTTAATACATAATAGAATAGCAAGACAAAGTATTCTAGCGATTATGAGTAGCAAACTACGATGTATTGAATATTTTTCTTTTCGTATGATTTAGACTTATCTTTTGAATATTTAGTCTTCTATAGACTTTATTCTTGAGTCCCAGCTCGATTAATATCTTTCTACTCGTGTGATTTATTTTTTTGTCTTTGCTTAGTTTCTTTTACGCTGTTGTAGAGTAGTTGATGGATCTATACTCTAGCCATCTTCATGTTTCTTAATCATCACCATTTAAACAGTAAAACTGTCTAGAGATTTTTGCTAAGTTCTATAAAAGCATGTATATTATTACATTCTACTTTTACTAATGACTTTTACATGAGATTTAAAAAATATCGAAATTTAACCGAACCGTACCGATATCAAAGAGAAACCGGCATGATTGGTACGATTTCAAAAAGTCTAATTTTGGTTATACATAATAGAATAGCAAGACACAAAGTATTCTAGCGATTATGAGTAGCAAACTACGATATATTGAATATGTTTCTTTTCGTATGATTTAAACCTATCTTTTTGAACATTTAATCTTCTATAGACTTTATTCTTGAGTCCCAACTTGGTTAATATCTTACTACTCGTGTGATTTATCTTTTTGTCTTTGCTTAGTTTCTTTTACACTGTAGTAGAGTAGTTGATGGATCTATACTCTAACCATCTTTCATGTTTCTTAATCATCCCCATTAAAACAATAAAATTGTCTAGAAATTTTTGCGAAATTCTTTAAAAGTATTTATATTATGCAGTCTACTTTTACTAATGACTTTTACATGATATTTAAAAAATATCAAAAATTAACCGAACCGTACCGATATCAAAGAGAAACCGGCATGATTGGCACGATTTCGAAAAGTCTAATTTTGGTTATACATAATAGAATAACCGAAAAAATGGTATGGTACAAATTTTATAAAATAACCGACCGCGCCGAACCATTGACACCCCTAAATACATATAAAAAGAGATTGCACTCTCCATTAACATTGGGTCATTGTCCAAAAGACTTACTATAATAGGCTTAGATTTTTCTAGTAAATACAGTTCCTAAAATGTCTCCCAAATGCATCATTTGCAAACACTAAAGGAACTGCCAAAACTTCAAGCCCGGCAAAAAGCTGCATTTTAGCTCCGTCCTTAGCGAGCCATCTCACCGCTCATCTGTGAAGATTAAAAAAATCACGTGGCTATTTTAGGAAACAAACATTCTATTCCAGGGAACAAGTCATGGGTAGGATTACCACTTACCATATTGATCATCAACCACTAATGCTTCTTACTCGGCTACTTTGGGTCAGCCCATCTAATCAATAGTTCAATAACACAACTCACCCACAACATTCATTCACTCAATTCTCCTAGTTTTCTTAACCCTAGTCCTCCATCGTATCCATATTCTTCAATTCAATCCATAATAGTTGCTATCCACAGTTTAAATAATCTCTCAACCTGCCAATTTTAGCATTAGGAATTACCTTTCCATGTAAAGGAACTCATGTTGCATTGTTCCCCAAAATGAAAAGCTAGAGACTGTCCAACAATCTCATGATTAAATTCATGTTCTTAATATTATTATGTGAAATGACCCCAAACGCCACCACATAAAGAAACCATCCAGTTAGAGCACAGAAAAACTTCTCAATCCTAACATCAAAACTTAGAGAGAATCATGAGTTTTATGTATAGTTCTGGTCGTACATGTTCTTCGTGCCAAAAGAAAATTGAAATCAAGAAGCCTCAATTGAAAGGGACCAATAAGATATGTAAAACTTGGTCACAGAGACTTCAAAGATGGCTCCAAGGTTGACAGGTCTAAATGAAGTCAAACCAATGTATCTCAAACCACAAAATGCTTGTCTAAGAATGTCGTCATAGATAGCAGGGAATAAACTAGGGGAACAACAACAACAACATACCCAGTGTAATCCCACAAGTGAGTCTGCGGAGGGTAAATGTAGGCAGACCTTACCCCTGCCTTCAAGAAGGCGGAGAGGCCGTTTCCGGAATAAACTAGGGGAAGTCCTTCGAAATTTCACCAACTTATGAACTCAGAAGAGAGTTGGCTCACAGCCAACTAAACCAACTAAAATAGTGGAACCTCCTAGCTAAGCTAAGCGTGCCAGAAGAGGACAAACAATGAATGTTGTTGAGCTCGTTTCCCCTCATACTTGAGCTCCGGAAATTCTTGTGGTGCATAGAACTAACAAGAGCTGATACAACACAATACAGTAGGCATCGAATTTGCTGATAATAAAGCAAATTTAAGATTTTTATCATAAGGGAAAACACTTGAATTAACCTCATGACCAAATGACAGGAAAAATTGGTCATTGTCCACAGGCTTAGAACAAAGCAAAACCAAATATTTGCAGAATAACTTGAAATTGCTGCTCTTTTCCAGTCACTGAGTGCTTCAAAGGGGAATATTTAGTGATTAAGCTCTAATTTTTAATCTTTTATCCTGCAAAGGAAGTAAACAAATAACAAAATCCTTCGTGAGAAACATCGTCTCTGAGCACACAGCTAGTCAACTCAATAGAAAGCAAGCAATTACATTACCAGCCGTATTAATCTAGACATCAAAATTATTAACATCAATATCATGCAGCAAGAAATGATATTTTATGTATATGTAAACCGCACCTACTTTATTTTACTTCAATAAAATAAGCTCCAAATCCAGATAATTGCTCTGTAGTCAAAAAAGATTTTTGGACTTCCATTCTGTTTTTCTGTTGCATCAAGACTAGCTCAAACAGAGCTTCTCTCACATTCATTCGGCATCCATTCACCTCTCAAAACTTGATACCTTGAGAATCCCAAAAAATTTAAGTTGCTCAATATCTCCAACTATATTATTGATGAAAGAGATCTCTTCGTAAAAATGATAAAATGAACGAACAATCAGTCTCTCATTCTCTCTGGGCAATGATGGAATTGTTCAGCCGTCTAGAGCAGCGACACAGCCACTTATTCAGACTTCTCTCCGTAGGACTCAGTCTTACGGATCAAGCTGCAGCTCAGCTAGCAGATTATGATGATGATTACGAGTATTACAAAGAGTATAATCAAAATCGGAACTATGTAATGGAGAAATCTGATAGAAACAGTTCCACAAAAGGGAGTGCAGTGGGTGATCATGGGTGATTCTATTGTACAGAGACACGTTTTTGCCCAGTGGCTCTCGAAGCTTCTGGATGTCCCTCATATTTCCATGGGCTCCACCCATGTTCTTCTCTCTATAAGCAGATCGCAGATGCTGTCGATCAGGGAAAACTTGTCCCAAAAGAGGTTAAATTTGGTATATTGTCAAAGAGGCTAGAAGCAGGATATTGCAGGGTTGGAAGTGGATTATTCTTGGATGGGATTCCTCAAAGGTTCAGGCTGACTGCTGGAATTAATATGAGTCTTAAGCCAGAGGGTGGTCTATTTTAGGCCTTCAAGTACCTTGGATGATGTCTCGAGAAAGAAGCTGCAGGTGCACACAGAGCCGATCAAACCTCTAGAAGAATACTACAGGAAACAAAGAAAGCTCCTTCATTTTTAAGTGCCTGGAGGACCTTTGGCTGCTTTGCATCTTCAGCACAGGAATGCAGTTTGTTCAACACAGTTGAGTGCATGATACTGATTTGACTTTCTTCTGATCTTCATCTTTTTGCAAGCATAGTAGGTATAGGAAATATGAGTGGGACAAACTCAAGTTTTGAGCAGGAATACACAATATATTTTTTTTTCATTTTTGTTTGAATGGGTTCAACCTAGTTCCATCTGGCAGAATAGAGAAAAACCATAAGATCTAAGGCATTAAACAAGCTTAAAATGTACTCTCTATATGTAGATTTCTCAAGATGCTAATTTTTTGGTGAAAAGAATTCCTGGAGTCCCAATTAACTGATAGAGCTTGATATACTAAGTTACTAACCAACCTGCCAACAGGACAAAATGTCTAGAATAACAGTTCTATCAAGCGCCTTCCTTAGAAAAACAGAAAGCGCTGTTGCACCCAAGTCTTCCCTATAAATACTCGGGTCATGTTTGATTATCACAACATATAGAATTTTCAACCAAATTATTTTGTTTTGATTGATCTATGCAAATAAGGTGGCTTCTTAAATTTAACTGACTAGCATAAATGTCAAATAGAAGAGCGTTTTAGACAAAAATTTATTATAAAGTGTAACAGCTAGTTAGAAGAGTTGATCGACGGAGTTAAACTGATAGAAACTTAAAATGCTGGTAGAAAGAGCATTTAAACATTAAAAAACGCTAGTCTGAAACATTTAACTTATCAACGTCCTGTCTCACCCGCACGGACAAACACTGAGAATTCTGACACTTAGTAAAGTGAAAAGGCCGGCAGTGTTAAGCATTTTAAGGTGGCAACAAAGAGCCAGAGATTTTCAGCTCCTTAAAATTTCTCTCTTAACAAGCACACTTAACCACTCCAAAAATCCACCTGCCCTACGTGGCTGTTGCCATCCTGATGGATTCATCCACTGCCACTCTTCTCCTCACAGATATTCAATTCTCCCAACAAATTCAACAAATACCTACAATGACTTCTTCAACTACCTCCATGAATTCACCATTCTCTCCAAGCCAAACAAGCCCGGCTCAAAACCCTCAAAATCCACTGACAACACCAATAACCTTTTAGCAGCTTTTTTCTTCAACCCACAATAGTTCAGGAAAGGTTGAAAACAAGAAAAAATTTCACTTTGGTTGACACAAAATTAAAAAGTTGTATGATCTAGAGCAAAAATTAGCCAATTTTGGAGAAAGATAATAGCAAAAATCTCAAATTTTACCCGAGTATAAAAATCTTCCTTATCTGTAGATTATGACTCCATAGAGTTTCAGGAAAAGTTGAAACCATAGAAGATTTTCCATGTTTGTTGACACAAAATAAAAAATTGTATGATCTAGAGCAAAAATTAAATTTTAGAGAAAGATAATAGCAAAATCTTCAAAAATCCTAAATTCTTCCAAAGTACAAAAAATTTCCTTATCTGTAAATCTTGACTCCATAGAAAGCTTCAAAACACTATATTTGCGTTTTTCAAAAGAAAAGATCTTGGCCGAATCTCTGCAGTATTTGCATCTCTATGACTGAGTTTTTGAAGTTGGAACTTTCCTGTTTATTTTGCCTCCTCAGGGAAGTTAAGACGCCAAAAGATTTTCATTGTCCTATGTTTAAGAGATGTCAACGGTCAACACTCACACATTGTAGGCCCTTTCTTTTTTGGGGGATCAAGGCTGATCCAAATATCAAATTTTGGAGCCCCAAATATTAATGCTTTAGCAGCTCTCATTCTAAAAAAAATTGTTTCCTTGAAGAGCTCTGTATTACTTCACATCTATAACTCCGTCAAACAGCCTTCCAACTCACCGTTATAAGTTTATTATATTGAAATACTGCATGAAATGTTGTTGCTTTTACTTTGTAGTACTAGTGTAATTTTTAGAAAAGACACTATTTGCATTTTAAAAAATCCATTAAGAAGTTAACAATCCTAAAACAGAACAGGTAAAGTTCTACTATTATTTTTCCACATCTTTCATTCTTTTTCTTGATCCCCCTTACCTAACAAGTTATTTCTACTACTTCCATCTTGTGCCTAAGCTCGTAGATTAGCGTATACCATCCAATTTATCCTTTTACCCACTTTAATAGGAGTACAAAATTAATTCAATCTTAAGATGGGATTCGACAAACTTGTTCGATCCTTTTTCCCTATGATACGACAATGGAACATGTCTTGATGGTATATGCCAGCCACCTCTATTAATAGCCCTAACTTCCAGATTGAGCACTCAATGAAAGGATGGAACTTCCCCCACGTTTGATAACCAACATTTTCCCTTCACCAGCAGATATTAGTTAAGTTACTTTGATCCGTGGTGTCGTCTAGATAAGTAAAAGTATCTCTCAACCTCTTTAATTGAGTACATTGACCAGCTTACTAGCTGCTAGACAACGTGCAACTACTACACCTAAGTCTCAAACAAAGTTGGGGTCTGTGATATAAATCCTCACTTTTTTTTCTCATGCAGTCATGCTTAATCTATGGCTTTGTGTAATATATATATGATAAGGCTAATGTAGTATCTCGGAAACTAGGATTTGATGGTATCTGTAGAGCGGATCCCATGAGCTTCTCGGGAGGAAGTTGTTTGAAGATGATGTGATGTAAGTGAACGCCTACTAAAAAGACGTCGTAGAGTTCCGTTCTTCGTTCCATCATTGATCAATCTATCACTCCTTCACAGGCCGCTCCATCATTGTCTGATTTTTGGTTGTCTGATCACGCTCGAAATTATGTATCTACTTATCATATTTTTACCCCTGCTCGGCAGTTTTATAGCAGGTTGTTTCGGACGTTTTCAAGGAAAAGAAGGAACCGCTATAATAACCACTACATGTGTTTCATTCTCTTCGATCTTCTCTGCGATTGCTTTTTATGAAGTCGCACTGGGAGCTAGTGTTTGGTATCTAAGAATTGTTCCATGCATCTCATCAAATCTTTTAGTTCTCATAAATGTTTCAAAGAATCAAATTGTTGAAATATGTTTCAGAGTTTTGGCTTATGCCATTTAAATGGTCTTTGAATGCAGTTCGCGGATGTTGAGTACAAGGTGAAAATTAGCCAAGCTTCCTCCAACAATCCTGTCAAGGCAGTTGTATCAAAGGTAGCTTCCCAGTCTGAACATGACAATTACAAAAAGATACTCAAGGGTACAATAAGGGTGAAATTCTTGCCTTAATGGGGCCTTCTGGCAGTGGAAAACATATATATGTATGTATATATATATATATATATATAAGATCGCAAATAAAGTATTGCATTGCATCCATCATCAAGTGAATGATGCAGAGTGTGAATTAGAGCCTTTGGCCAAGCTTTTGGGAGGCCAAAACTACTTTTTCTCTCCAAAAAAGTAATTATTTAGAAATTTGAGTTGTTTGGCCAAGACAGAGAAGTGCTTAAATTAATTTATCCAAGACAAAATTATCATCACTATAAATTTATATTTTTCAAATTATTCCTCACTAATTTAAGCCTTTTCTTTTTCTTCTTTGTTTCTAGTTTCTACCCTTCTTTAAATTAGAGATATTAGATACATGGATTGTAGCAAATACTTTTTTGACTTTTCTTGTTTTTTATTTTTTTCTTTGTGTAATGTCATGAAACTTCTCAAGTTTTTTGACTGATCTTGTTTTATATTTCTCTTAAGTAATAGATCTCCTCGAATTCTCCTAGTAACTTTACTAGATCAACTCCTCAAATTCTTTTTGCAAAATAAGAAATCCTATCTATTACTATAAATAGACCTCTTCTCCCTTTTTTTTGCAGTTTCTTCTTTTGCGTCTCCTATTCCTCTTTGAAACAACAAAACTAATAACAAATTCAAGTACTTTCTTCATAAGGTATGATTTATTTTTTTCTTTTTGTAGTATACCAATTTATTATACACAATATCTAGTATGTACTTTTATCTATTCTTTATTTATTAACATGAGTGCATGTACCAATGATACATCAAATATTTTGTGAAAGTGACTACTGATTTATTATTTTAGACTTTGATGTGTAATAACACTTATTTTTAATAATATGAGTGATTACCAATTGAAAGCTTTTCCTTTGATGCTCCTTTATTTATCTTTCTCCTTTTTTGACATGACAGATTTTTAGTTCTCTTATTTGTTTAGTATTATTAATCAAATGTTCTTAATGCATATTGAAAAGAAAATGAGCAAGAAAGTGACACTGGATAACAACTCTGAGAAGGCTAAATGGGATGTAGAAATGACAGAACCATTTTAATATATGTGTGGAAGAAATTTAAGCCGAAAATCGTCCTGAGACTCGCTTCAGCAGATTAGGATGGTCTAATCTGATGCAAGTTCAATGAAAAACTCAGAAGAAACTATGGTAACGTTAAGTTGAAGATTATCATCATGTAATCAATAAGTAATTATACTAGGTAATATTATTAATTTGGTATAACTTTATATATTATATTGATTTAAATCTTTAAAATGTATGTTTACTTTATGTTATATTTCAATTAAATAAAATAAAAAATAATAATAATCTCTTACAACAAATATTTAAATTTATTTTTCTCTTTAAAATAATTATAAAAGCTTGGTACTATCCATTTTGGTGATTTGACACTCAAAAGCACTTTCTAGAAAGATGGTCAAACGCAATTTGTTTACTAAATGTTGCAAAAAGTACTTCTCAAATGAATTGGTCAAACACAAACTGTTTTTTTTTTTCAAAAATACTTTTAGAAAAAGCACTTCTAAAGAAAAGTACTTTTCCAAATAAGTAGTTTTTGGCAGCTTGGCCAAACAAGCTCTTACACAAAAAGCAAAAAACTCAAATTCATTACTGCAAAGAGAGGAATTGAGGAAGTCTAATAGGCTGTCTAGCTCAATTACATCAAGCTCTTACATCAAAAAGCCAATAGGGAAATGCATTTGTATGTATGTACACTCTCATACTTCCTTTCAAACAAGTTAACAAATGTTTCTGTTTTTTCTTTAATAAGGACAAGTTAACAGATACATTTACCCCAATTCAAGCTACCAAAAAAAAAAATCAACCTTACTAAAGAAATGAGCTTTAAATCAAGATGACTTTTGGTTTTTCACTGGCCTTTGGGTACATTGGGACTGGCTCAAATTTAAAGCTTGCTCTAGCTGTGAAGTTATTTTAGAGCTGTACAAGACAGCTCCGTACAATTGAGAATCTAACCACCCATGCAAACACAATATCTTGGGTGTCCTAGAAATTCGCATTTGCACAAAGTATACATGTGCATACAGAGACATGTATTTGCATATAAAATCTGCTAACGCATGAGACCTCAAGTAAAAATGGAAAAAGGAAATGAAAGCTCCATCCTAGTGTCCCAATTACACCTTGAAAGAATGATGTACAAATGAACCCTCTTTTTTGGTTAAAAGGAGCAAATGTCTAGAATAACTTCTAGCAAGCATCTTCTACAGAAACCGACAAAGCATTGTGTGCATTAGGATATATATCTAATTTCTCCTTTACAACAATTTTAAGTAATAATAATCATCCCTATCTTTAAGGTAGGATCAGTTACTGTTGTTTCATCTTTTTTCTAACCTATCATAAGACAATGAAACAACGTCTGAATGGAATATTCTAGCCAAAATACTTTATTAACTAGCCCAATCTTCCACAACGCACTATATGAAAGGGGTCTTCCCCCAAAATTGACAACTACATTTTCCCTTTACCAACACATGAGCTAAGGGTGTTATGATCCATTGGAATACCCCACTAGATTCTGTCATGGACCTGACTATTAAAAAAAAAACAATTATGCCTCAATCCCAAGCTACTTGGGTTGGTCGAATGAAATTTTTTGAGCTAAATCAGCATTTTCCGTTAACAACATTAAATTAGCTGATCGAAAATACAAATATGTTCAGCATCATATGAGTTCCTTTTTTTGTTGATAAAGAGCATCATATGATTAGATAGATACCCGAAGATGTTATTTAGATTTCTCACTTTGACAAGTTAATGGACATTTCTAACCTTATTCAGTAGCAAGGACAAAGGCTGAATAAGGAGATTACCACAAGCTCATCTTGTGGAACTTTGCTGAAAAACATTTCTATTAACCTGCTTACAGGCTCAACCTACCTTAAAATCCAAACTTTCAAAGCAAGTGTTGAGACCCAATAAAAATCAGGAATGGCTGACTTGGGTTAATCAAAGTGTGCAACGAGCAAAGTAGGAATCCACAACGGCAAATGATTAGAATTATACCCATACCTATACGAGCAAGAAGTCACGCTTTCAATATGGAGAAAGTGCAATGAAATATGAGAGTTGGATTCAGACAAGCATATTGTGAAGAAGACCAACAAGGATATAAAGAGCGAAAATGTAGAGCAAACAAAGGATGATAATTAGGTATTTAATCAATGGGAACTCTGCAACTTCCTTAGTTTTTAGGTGTTTGAATCTATGGGCATGAGGATGAGGCCTTAACCCTAATGTCAAAATAGGAAGAGACTATAAGGGGAGAAGGGGAGGGGAGGACAACAAAACCATCCCTGTTGCTAAAAATATGATCACAGAGGGAAGAATATATTGGAATTGAAGAGATTGACATGTTCAATAAATTGCGATGGGAGAAAGGTGAATTTACAGAATAAGAACGGAAAGAAGTAAAGTATAGTACAGAAAATATTCTGCAATATAGAGGCAAAATTGGGGTAAAAGATGTGACAAAAATCTGTGAGAGGCCACGCTGTGGAGTAGATAGGGAGGAAGGAGTGGATAAGGTAAAGATAAGAGAACTTGGAGACTGAGTAGAGTGCTTTAACACAAGCAGCATTTGTTAAAAGAAGGGATTTTCAGTATAATTTGGATTAAATGGATGTAACAAGTGTAGAAAAATAGGGGATATACACACGGGTGAAAACAGTTTTTCTGAGGTGTACTCTATAATGTATGGTTAGTTAGAGTAAGATTTTGCACTTTACATGTCTGATGTACTCTCTTGTTGTATACTATCGTTGTAAGGTGCATTAGACTAATAGTATTTTGACTTACCAAATCAAGGAAGAAAAAACTGATCAGCAATCTCATAGTTGATTACTTCCTGAACAGGTTAGTGGAAGTTGTGCAAGAAGCTACACAACAAAATTTTCACAACGTAGTAACATACTACTATCATCTAAAGTAGGCCAGTTCACTTGCTCAATAAGAACTAATTTCAAACTGCAAGCAAATTCAAATTACCTTCATCAGCCCCTAAGCTTCTCACCTGAAATATTGTCGGTCTCCTCACCATCCTCATCTCCATTGTCCTCATCGTCATCATTGTCCCTTATCTTAGCGATTTCCTCCTGTGCCCTCTCAACAATCTGTTTCTTCTGCAACTCCAACTCCCTCTGGAAATCCCTTCTCATCTTCTCCAACTCCATCATCTGTTTCCTCTTACTATTCTCAATCTTCTCATATATCAGCCCAAACCTTTGAATTGAATCAGCTAGCAGCTTAGCTGATTCATTATCACCCTCCCATCCTCCCGAACCCTGCTCCTCCTCCTCCTCTTCTTCATCATTATCCGCATCCGATCCTGCTGGACTATCCCTCATCTCATCCAACACATTCGACCTATCCAAGTACATTCGTGGGTCCATAAACACATATTCTCCCGAATCGAGACCACATCCCAATCCACAATGCCCTTTCATCCTCAAATTCATCAACATATCCATTTTCTTGAAAAATGGCCACTTGCTATGAAACCCACCCCCAGTTTTCTCCATTTTGGTTATCTCCTTCTTGTACTTCTTCTTTAACACATCTAATTGATTCCTACACTCAATTTCACTCTTTTCTACCCCAATCATTTCTGTTACCTTCTCTGCAACTTCAGCCCAATCTTCGGCCCGTAAGCTCCTCCGGCCCAACTCCAAGTACCTCTCACCCCACACTTCCAATAACACAAAACTCTCCTCTTCACTCCACATCCCCCCCTTTGAACTATGAGAACTCCCGGAACGAGGGGCAAACTCGTAATTTGAAACTAAAGTTTCCAACTTCCTCCTCTTTTGAAAACTATGATACCCATTTTCTCCACTGCTAAATTCTTGCTCTGCTTCTTCTTCATCAGATTCATCATCATCGTCATATTGAAATTCATTGTTATTATACCCATAATAATGGGTATTTCTTGAATAAGAACTAGGGTTTCGAATAGAGCGCCTTGATCGAAGAGAAGAACTGTAAATGGAGTTGGGTCTTGAAGGGTACCGAGTTTCATCATCAGAATCATCCATATTTAATAGGAGTATCGATATCAATATACAGGTGAAATTCAACTCCAATTGCAGTGAGAAAGGCAAGCAAATGGTGGGTTTTCAAAAAGACCCTTAGCGTTAGGGGTCTTAGGGTTTCTAATGAAAAATGAAGGGAATCGAGGGGTTTCAGATTCGGATTTTGGTCGGGTTAAAAACGAATATGAGTGCATTTTGGTGTCAAGAAGAAGGGGTATGATAAGACAAATGTCCCTGGGGTTCTCTTTAGCTTCGACTGATGGTACCAGTGGGCGAGAAAAATATCTTCATCTTTTTTTTTTTTTTACAGAATAAGAAATATTTATATTTATGCTTAAAGATGTCAGAGATATTACAAAATATAGAAATAAGTATATATACCAACTTGGTACATATAGTATCCGAAATTGTTCTCACAATACTTTGTGTAAGCCCCGCGAAATTACACCTAGAACCCTAGGTTTTGTGGTGCCGAGGTAAGCTAATATGTTTGAGGATTGAGCGAGCTGCGGTACGGACTTTTGGGGTTGTTCAGTGCATCGAGGAGTTAAAGGAAAAAGTTTGCAGAACATGGCACTTCTGTGGTCCATTTGCGGGCCGCATTGCCAATTTTGAGGACTATTATGCAGCCCATTATGCGATCGCGGAACCGTTTTGCGGGCAGCATATCCCATCGCAGATCCCGCATGAGAAATTTCGGAAGGAGGTTCTGTGGTCCATTATGCGACCGCAGACCTGTCCCAGAGTGAAGCAGAAACGCCCAGTTCTGGAGGGCCATTATGCGGTCCATTTTGCCGACCGCAGAAGTGTTATGCGATCGCAAATTTGCATCAGGGCTTCATTTTTTTAATTTTATAACCCGACCCCCATTTCCTTTTATCTAGCCTGAGGATTCATTTTTGGGGGATTACCTGACATTTTAGAGAGAGGAGAGAGCTATTATAGAGAGATGAAAGGGAGGACTGAGGATTTCACTACTCTACTTTGAATCAACCCTTGGAATTTCATCAAAAGGAACTTGCTAGGGCTTCAAAAAGGTAAGAATTTCTTTCCCCCAATTCTTCAATTTTGGGTTTGGGTTGATTATGGGTAATGAAGGTAGATTTATCACATGCATGAGCTAATAGAGACTGTGGGAAGTTGTTGAACCATCTTGGGTGATTTTGTTCTTGAATTAGTTGAGGGAAGGTTGGGTCATCAATGTAGCAACTCTTGCCATACGAATTCCTCTAATCATGCTTGTAATTCTTCCCTTTTCTATAGACTAACATCGTTAAAGGTGTCGGAACGTTATTGTTTCACCAAGGAAAGCTCTTTTGAGGTATGAATGCTAAAATCTTCTTCTGGTAGTGGAATTCCCGAATCCTTGCAAAATTCCATCATGTGTAGTCAAACTTGAAACACTGTTGAGGCGGGATGTTCAAGCTAGTGAATTGATTCTCAAATTGCATAACGTGTCTGAACCCTCATGTGTTAAAGCTTTTATATTGTGACTTAATTATGTTATACCCCTTTTGGGAAGAAAACCTTGTATGAAATCAATGTGATCAAACACGTATTTCTTATATGATGAAACCTTATGAACTCACACTTGCTAAGGCCAAACGGTTGATTGGGAGAGAACTCTTTTGTACAAAACTATAATCGTTTTGGGAATCCAAAGCATGGTATTGTGATTACACCTCCACCTGCATACATTGGGGTGAGGCGGCAGGGCTGCTTTGTGTAGGATTGTGGTATTGTGATTATACCTCCACACGCATACATTAGGGTGAGGCGGCAGGGCCGCTTTGCGTAGAGATTGTGATCGGGATTACACCTCCACCCGCATACATTGAGGTGAGGCGGCAAGGCCGCTTTGTGCAAAATTATGGTATTGTGATCGCACTCCCACCCGCATACATTGCGGTGAGGCGGCATTGCCACTTTGTGTAAAGGTGGTTACAGGGGATCCCCGACTTAAAATGTGTAAATGTTATTGGAAGATCTTAATAAATGTGCTTTGACTTTAACGGCTATCTAAGCCCTTTTTTTGTTACCATGATTCATCATATTCATGTTGTATTTCCAAGTCCTTGAATAGGTGTTTTGTTTTCATACTAGTACTATTCGACATGTACTAACGTCCTTTTTACCGGGGGCGCTGCATCTTTAATGGATGCAGGTGGTTCCACAACGGGAGGCATTGACCAATGATAGCGGTACACTCTCTTCCAGTTGACTTGGTGATCCCCACTTCATTTCGGGGTCAGCATCTTTTGTTCCGTGTGTATTATGTTTTGAGGTATAGCCGGAGCCTTGTTGTCGGCACTATCGTTGTACTATTTTGTATCTATTAGAGGCTTCATAGACATAGTGTGGGTTGTGTATTGGTGTTGGGAAAGTCAAGCTAGTAATGTTGTATATGTATTACATGTTCCACTTTAAGCTATGAAAGTGTTTGTATTTTGAGACTTAAAAATAGAGAAACTAATGGTAATGGAGTTGGGGTTGTTTAAGAAACCCTCTGAGTGTCTAATTGATGGAATATATCTCCTCTTTATTCACGGATGAGTTTGGGCAAAAGAAAATCTAACAGGCTTGCTCGGACGGGTTATCTCGGTTGAGCGTCGGTGGTGGTCCCCGAGGTCGGGGTGTGACAGTTGGGTCATCCTATGTCGAGTATTCCCTTATGTTTTTATTCTGGTTATCTCATGACGGCCCTTCTGGATCACTTGCCCATGATGATATGATAAGAAAGATATGTTACGTTGGTACTCAGTTGAGTAAGGTACCGGGTGCCCGTCACGGCCCTGCGGTTTAGGTCATGAAAGTTTCGACATGTGACAACTCTTTTAAATAGGAATTAAAAGAGAAGAGTCACCAACTCTTTTGTTGACTTTTCTAATTTCATTTGAACCCTTTTCACTCGTGGGTAATTTCGAAAGCTTATTTTGAATTGTTTGAACAATATTTGGCTAGATTTGGTTGGTTTGGAGGCTTGTTCGAAAGGAAAAGTCGGGGTTGATTATTGAGTTGGTTGCGGAAAGAGGTAAGTGTCGTATCTAACTTTGACTTGAGGGAATTAGGACTTGTTGGTCTATTTGTTACGTAAATTATGTGTGGGGCGGCGTATATGCTAGCTGAAGAGTGTATATGCGCTATCAAGGGTTAAAGCATGCGAGTTGGGCTATTTACCTTTCCTACCTGTATTAATTGTATATCTTCATTGACTTATGGTTTTACCTGCCTTCATTGTCTTTACATTGCTTGTTGTACTTTATTATGTTATTCCGATTGTGCGAGTCCTTTAGCTATTCTTGAAATGATGATTTTCAAGGTTTGTGAGTATGAGTTATTGGTTATTCTTTGTTGCACTAGTAGAACCTTGGTGCTTTGTACGTTTTGGTACCTTTGAGTTGAGATTACGTTATTGGTCGTGTTAAGTTGTCATGCTAATGAATTGATATTAGGAATGAGTTGCACACTGTAACAGTATTGAAATGAATTGATAATGGATCGGGTTGATTTTCGTAATAGATATTGATATGATATTGGGATAGGGTTGCACGTCACAACACATATTGTGATAAATATTAGGATCGGGTTGCGTGCCGCAACAGATTGTGATGTGTTGTAGTTGTTTGTAGCTGTTATGCTTTATCTCGGTACTGTAATATAAGGATATGAGATGATGTTTTTTTGGGGCCCTCTGTTAGATGACCTTCGGGTCCCGTTCTTATGAGTTTACTATTTTATCCATATTTTTGTCTTTCCTTTACTATTATGCATACAGGTTTATAGTGAATGTCTTGTCATAGCCTCGTCACTACTTCGTCAAGGTTAGGCTCGACACCGACATAGTACATGGGGTTGGTTATACTCATACTACACTTCTGCACTTCTTGTGCAGATCCTAGTGTTGGTCCAAGCATTGTGTGGAGGAGTTCGCTTGAATCCCACTTGCCCCGAAGACTTGAGGTAGAGTTGTTTAGTGTCTACAGTCTTTGAAGCCCCCTTCAATCTTGTTTTACTGTTATTCTAGTTTTAGACATTTGTATTTCATTCCGGACAATGTTTGTAGTATTCTAGACGCTCGTGTACTTGTGACTCCGGATTTCTGGGATTAGTATAGACAGTATTATATATTTATTTATCAAAAGTATTTTAGGTTCTACCAATCGTTAATTATTACTGTTCTACTTTTAAATTGTTAAAAATGGTTAATTAATTAGCTAATGTTGGCTTGCCTAGCAAGTGAATGTTAGGCGTCATCACGGTCCCACGGTTGGGATTTCGGATCGTGACAAGTTGGTATCAGAGAACTAGGTTGCCTAGGTCTCACTAGTCATGAGAAAGCTTAGTAGAGTCTGGAGGATCGCTACGGAGATGTTTGTACTTATCTTCTAGAGGCTATAGGGTTTTTGGAAATTTCACTTATTTCTTACTCTATCGTGAGACTTTATTCTATCATTGAAGTTTAAATCATTATATTCTTGTTCTCTCACAAATGGTATGGACACGCACAATATCCACAGCCGAGTAGGAGCTGGAGCCCCATGTTGCAGCCACTACCAGGTGTAGGGGCCGGGGACGAGGTAGAGCTAAAGGCAGGCAGAGCTCATACTAGAGCTTGCGCAGCAGCACCGATTGCAGAGCCTCTGATGGAGCAGGAGGAGGAGATCCTTGCTCCGAACGCACCAGTTGGACCAGCTCAAGTCAAAGAGGAGATCATTGCCACCCAGTATTTCAGGATGCCCTAGTACGCTTGGTTGGCCTTATGGAGAGTGTGGCCCAGGCCGGTGTGCTCCCAATGGCACCAGTCGTCTCTCAGGCTAAGGGAGGAGCTCAGACTCCCACTACTCACACGCTAGAGCAGATGGCTCATGAATATCAAACTCCGGTTGTTCCAGCAGTTGAACCAATTCAACTCGTTATTGCTACACAGTCTGGGGAGAAACCCGCGATGTCTTCCGAAGGGCTGAAGAGGTTGGACAAGTTCACCAAGCTATGTCCTATTCATTTTATGGTAACATGGGTATTGTGAAGTCCAATAGAATCGACTTCTCAATGTTTCAGTGCACGACTCCTCTAAAAGGTGGTTGCAGGACTATGTTCGAGGTAGACCAGTAAGTTCACCTCTACTTACTTGGGATCAATTCTCATAGCTATTCTTGGAAAGTTCATCCATTTTACCCTGAAAGAGGACTACCGCAGCTAGTTTAAGCGCCTCGAGCGGGTAGCATGATCGTTACCCAATACGAGACCAGAATTATGGACCTATCTCGCCATGCAATTATCTTT